GTGGTCACATTAGTGAGTAAGCTGCCAAATAAATTTACGGAGAATATCTTGACTGACTGAAGTCAATTTCTTGTGAAATAAGAGTGAAAATATTCTACACAAAAGAGAGCATGAACTATCCTGTGGACGTTCAGGACAAGCCTGCCTTAACAGACGAAATAAAGTCTAAATATCTATTAGAATGCGTTGGTTTTAATCCAATATCTAGTCGATTCCACACATGTATATAAATGAAGAAAAACAGTTGTGTGAGTAACTTGATATGATTTTGAGAAATAGTTTGTGCTCGAAACGTCATCAGTTAATATAACTGTACAACACTGCGTCACTTATCAAAATAAATTCTTATCCATAATGGAGTTGTACTCTACCACAGTGCCCAAGTTTCATACTTATGTCAATAGGCTTGTCCCTGTCCTTCGAACGACTTGCTCTTTGATGCAATCAAAAGTCGACAAATATCCTTCTCATGTTATCTGCAACTGTATATACAAATTTACATGTATCTGCGGGAGCAGTTACATAGGAAGAACTGAAAGAAAGAAGAAGGGCATACTTACGTTTTTCTGAACATGGACCAAAAAGCTTATGTCCAAAGTGAACTAACGTTTTCAAAAGTGTCATTGATAGACATCTCGTCGACACGGGTTATCAGGTCGACGTTGCAATATCGTTCAAAATTATCAATAAACAATGGTGATCAATTCTCCTGAAGTTTGCTGTAGCCATTTTCATCAATCACCTGAAACCTGATTTATGCGTTCAGAAACAAACAGTTTTCAGTCTTTTTTTACCCATCTCTATTTCATCTGAATACTTAATACCGAAAAGTTTCCATTGTGTATGATCATTATTGTTCGAAATAGTGTTTCATATTACAGATATATACAATTATTACTAGATGTCTATAATGATTGATTGATTTTTGTTTAAAATGAACTCTATGCAAGCAGGTATGTTAAAACTGTTTTTGTAGGTATACTTAATGTGGGCTGTTGCCTGTGAGCAGCTGATGAGAAGGCAACGCAGTAAACAGTGATGATAACATCATGTTATTCTGCAAAATCTACTCTTGTTCTTGCTTTATTCAAATTCAATAATTAAGGGGAATCAATCTATATAAAGCATCAATCTCTTCCCTGTCATAAACAACAATATGCCAAAATATGCAGACTATAGATTTATTATTAGCTTAATAGAAGAAAGAGCAAAATAAAATTCATGAGTAAAAGTGTTAGATATTAGGAGAAAAGTGTTTTCATTAGTTTATGAGATGTACGATTATCATTCGTGATGAAAGGGGAAGACGATGTTGTTTTCAGCGTGTAAAACATCAATCATATTGTCTTGGGGATTTCATCTTCTGCATCGACGATGAGTTAATCACTTGTAGAATTATCTAGAAATTAGAATAATGAAAATTAATTTGAGAATCATTCATTTTGTTGAGACAGAGAGAGAGAGAGAGAACGTACAGTTATGGCAGGTATGCGTGCAAATATCTAAACAGAGTTTAATACGACTTCTGTTTGTCTTAGGATTCCTAATGTGTTTACATCTCGAGTTTTCATATTCCACGTCCATGGGAGGTGTCAAAATCAGTATGAGAAATATGCAGTGTGGATAATGTATCAGTGAATTATCTTTCATTCTAGTTCACGACAGTTGACATGAACTAGTCGATTTGTTGACTTTCCATATGAGCAATGGAGTTGAACTACCTTCAGTTGTATACTGTGCACTAACATTATTATTATTATTAATTTATCCTCTAATTCCTAGAGGAACATAGGGTTTCGGCCGCACGTCTCCATTGCCTTCGGTTTTCTGCCAACTCTTTCAGCCCGCTCCACTTCTGCCCTCACGCTTTCATCTCCTCTCCACATGACCTCCTCCGAGTCACCCTTGCACTGACGACCAAATATCCGCCTCCATTTAGGGTTCCACTCGAGTAATGGCTTGTCTAGCGATGTCACTTGATGGTTTCCTCAGAGTATGACCAATCCACCTTCATTTCTTCCTGCATATTTGTTTCACAATCGGTTCCTGGTTGGTTTGCTCACAGAGATCCCTACTGATGATCATTTCTGGCCGGCCATCTGGTCTTGAGTATTGAGCGAAGACAACTGTTGATGAAGGTCTGAAGTTCGTTTGAGGTGCTCTTTATGACGCGCTGACCAAGTCTCTGATCCGTTTAGTAAGTAGCACTGAATTTACACTGGAGTTAAAATCCAGGTCTTGTTTTCGATGATGAGTGCTGTTGACCTCCACACAGACTTGAGAGTAATGAAAGCTTGTCTTGCATTTCCAATTCGTGCTTTGAAATCCTCGTCGGTTCCATCTGTAGTTGAAACTATGCTTCTCAGGTAGGTAAAGGAGGTTGTTTCTTTCATGTTCCTCCCATTTATGCTGGCTGATTGTTGTCTGTTGTTGTTGTTGCTGTGGCTGTTGGTGCTGGCCAGGAATCTTCATCACCTCTGTTTTCTCTGTGTTCACCTGAAGACCTATCTTAGATGCTTCTTCTGCCAGCTTGTCGCTTTTCACTTGCATATCTTCCAGTTTGTGGGAAATCAGACATATACAGCATCGGCGAAGTCCAGATCCTCCAAGTTGTGACATGTGAGTCCATTTTATGCCTGTTTCCTCATTGCTCGGCCTGTTGTCTGTCGCATTATCCAATCTACTGCAATCAGGAAAATCATTGGCGATAGTGGACAACCTCGCCACACTCCCGTCCCCACTTCGAAGGCTTCCGTAAGTTTCCCGTTGTGGATTACTTGGCATGCACCATTGTCGTACAACTGTTGGATGAGATGTATACTTGTCGGCGGGACCCCGTAGTAGGGAAGTAGTTGCCAAATGACCGCTCGATCGACGCTGAGCTATCGAAGGCCTCTACAAAGTCGATGAAGTTAAGATAGAGAGGTGACTGACATTCTAAGCATTGTTCAATCATGATCCGTAGTGTGGCAATTTGATCAATACATGACTTGTTTCTCCTGAATCCAGCCAATTGTGTAAATCAATCCTAAGAAGTGAACTCCTGATGTCAACTATCACGAGTGCATTTTCCAATGCAGTTAGAAGCCTCAATTTCTGAGGAACACGTGACTGAGTGGAATCAGACTTAATCTGACTGTGAAATATTTCTCCATGCAGAATGTTTGCCTAACGTAAATGTAGACTTCTTATGATAAGAATAATCAGGAAGACTAATCATCAGAATATGAAGTATTGATTGTGCAGACCGGTAGGTTGAGTGACACACATAATCCAATAAGCGAGATTTATCTGAAATACCATGTTATATCAGAGGTGAGATCCGGGAGGAGTTAGAATAGATGGAACTTGTGAATAGGTCTCAGAGTTGAAATAGTCAACAAATTGATTGATTTGGTCACCTGTAGGTGCTGGCCTCGTTACCTGATGGTGTCGCTTGATCGTCATGCAGAAGACGCAGAAATGAGAAGGAAACATGTGTCGAGTAGTCCACAGGTTTCAAGGATTCTCAATGCCAACCAATAGGTGAACTCAGTCTGTACGCACTACACTCCACTCAATACAGTTTCAAATGTCCACGATGATTGCAGGTAAAATTAATCGTAGAGTGCAACACACAGAGGAAAAACGTTGATGAGTTTAAATCATTCTGGCTAGGAAATATAAAACACACCAGTGTGTGTGTGTGGAGCAAGTAGAATGAAGTGTCGGAATCAAGGAGTTCGAGTAGAGAGTGGAAGAGGAGTAAAATATGTCTAGCAGATACAATTGATTCAATCACAGAAGGATGATTACTAAAGCGACAATGGAGTTCTAAAAACCATCTGAAATGAAATGCAGTTAAATAGTGATGAATAACGATGCCCATGCAGTAACGTCATGTTAGACAACATGCCAATTCATACTACTTATTGAACACGAAAGATGAAATAAACACGCAACCAATTAGGAGAGGAATGAATACTATCAGTGAATAGGATGAAAATTCGATCCTACCCTTTGTGATCTGAGTAGTATGCGTTAGTGTGATTTGTTCTACTGATACGTGATCACTGAGAGTTGATTGCTGTGTTACTACTGATCACACCCAGTTTACAATAACATCATCCATGTTGAAATAATACACAATGTACTTGGGGGAAAAATCTTTCGGGAAACTGACGGATAACCCGCTTTGGTTCACATATTTCAGTGAAACGACTGGCTGGTACATTAACATTCAAGACAGATGAAATTCCTCGAAAGATTTGTAAAATATACTTTGTAAACAGTAGTTCATATTGAATACTGAAAGCCCTGAACTATGCAACAATCAACTGCATCCATAAGATTGGAAAAAGTAAGCACTTCGGAGTGATGGAAATTTCCATTCCAAGAGACAAAGCCTTCGAAACTAACTACTACAATTGAAACTATCACTACTCAAAATAACAAAACTAGCGCTACTATCATCGAGACTGCTTCTTGCTTACACTTCTTCCAATTCTACAACTTTCTACTTAGTCTACTGCTTCTTTATCGTCCCCTGCTAATTCGATGTCAACATCATCTAATATTACTGCTAATCTCACCACGATTATTGTTTCCCACGAGTGATTATCAGGCGGTAATTCAATTCACATTGTCATCCTCAGTGAGGAATATTCAGATTCGCCTTGTTTGTGATTGTGCATTCAGATAAGGCGACCGATCGACGATATGCTATCTGGTCGTGTTGAAAACTGAACACTGCCTGACTGACTGAGTGACTGCCTGCCTGACTCACAGAGTGACCAACCAACGCAACGTCCCACCCACCCACAAACCGCTGGTTACCCATATCTTCGTCATGTCGCACAATGATGCACTTCACTCGACCATGTGTCCTGTCCATCGTATCGATCAGCATTCCCAAGCATTATTATGCATAATCTCCTGGAATTGTGCACACAAAAACACACACACCAGAACATCGCTCAACAAAATACAATAATGAGTAAACATGAGAAGTTGAGACTCACCAGTCGGTTGACTCGTTGCTTTTCCGCCAGTCACAGTAGACATGCTATGCGTACTGGGGAAGGCTGATGATTGTGTGGTCTTTGTCTTTGTCTCTGTCACCGTCTCCGTCAACGTCTCAGTCTGACTCCGTGTATGACAAAGAGACATCATCCAAGGAATAGGCATTTCAGGATAGTAGTCCCTGTATATAATAATTCCTTCATCCGTCTTTCCTATTGGTATCTTAAATCGCACAACTTGATACCGCGAATGATTGAGTCGTGTACAAGTTGAAAGAAGACGAAACAATACGAATGAAAGTAGAGGATATTACATGAAAAACATTTGATTACAGATTTCTATATGTAAAATACAAATTAAATGCAGAAAACAAATAGATATTATTGGTTTTAGGGCATTCCAGATAATCCCGATAGTATAACGTATTAACAATCGATTTGTAGAGTGACCGAAAATAATAGGAAATTACCGTGAATTTATTGAAAATTGCGCTCACACCAGTAGACGCCAAATAAAGTGACGATATGTGGCAAAAACAAATTGCATCAGCCAGAGATAATCAATCTATGGTGAATAAGCAGACAATCACACGGATTATTTATTGTACAAGCGAGACAGAATGAACATAATGAGAATGACGGTGAAGACAGAGAGAGGGAGAGCGAAATGCGAAATTGTCGTGGATAATACGACACTTGTGAATTGAAGTGGTGACAATCCGATGGAGGAGGTTGTTTTTGTTTTCGATGTGGGGTGGAAGTGAACGAGATAGCGTGCACGCCGTCACACAGACACGCAGTCAATCACGCAGTCGGCGTGACAGGCAGACAGTCAGTCAGCCGGTCATTTCAATTCAGCGAGATGTCGCTCTCCAACACTGACACTTACACTGACACTGACACCGACTTCTGCTCTCTCATCACAAAATCCCTCAAGTCTATTCTTCTAGCCGAAAATGTGGAAATCATACGGTAAGACAGTGAGTGAGACAGACTGACAGGCAGGAAGGAAGGGAGACAGCCAGCCAGCCAGCCAGCCAGCCAGGTAGCCAGCTGGACGGATAATGAGACACTAAGTCTGACAGATAGACACAAAATTTCGCACGTCACAGATTCTATCTCCATTTCCTCCTCCTCTCCACACCTCACATCAATCTGTCTCTCTCACTGTTAACCTCCTTCTCCCACTCTCCATCTGTCCCGCTAGGTCCCTCTGAATCGCTCTATCACTCTCCCTCTCACTCTCGCTTCACTTACATTCACAGAGTCCACCCACATAACACAGTCTCTCCACTACTCCAATTCACACCGTCCATCACCTAATCACCTAAATCACGAATCTTCCAGTCACTGACAATTGTGCATACAATGCAACTCAACAATCACTAGGATTTTGTCTAGTCTCGGATGGTGAGCAGCGGGGAAATCGATCAATCTGTCAATCTAACAAGCTCGACAATATTCTCGTCTGTCAGACAGAATCGATTCACTTGATAACTGTCAACATCATCCTGCTTGTTGGCGTTAGTGTCAGCCATTGATTTCTGCTTACTACAGTCACCGACAGCTCGTATCACATGATTTATCATGGAATCATTCATTCGCTTGAACAGAAAGCATTTAACAAATACTACTACTGCTACTTCTACTACTGACTCTCCTGGTAACAATGCCTTCGACACTAACTATTACAACTGAAACTGTCAATACTCAAATTAACAATACTAGTACTAATATCATTTCGACTGCTTCTTCCTTTCACTTCATACAGTTTGCCGTCTTTATATTTATTCTACTGCTTCTTCCTCGTCTCCTTCTCCTTCTTCTTCTTCGTCATCTTCATGTAATGTGGCTGCTAATCCCAGGAGGATGATTATTTCTCACGAGTGATTATCAGGCGCTAATTCAATTCACATTGTCATCATCAGTGATGAATATTCAGATACGCCTTGTTTGAATGTGCATTCAGGTGAGATGACCGATCTTCGATATGCTGTATGGTGGTGTATAGAGCTGAACACTAACTGACTGACTCACGGAGCGACCAACCCACACAACGACCCACCAACCTACACACCGCTCTTAAGCAATATCTTCGTCATATCGCACAATGATGCACTTCACTTGACCATGTGTCCTGTCCACCGTGTCGATCAGCATTCCCAAGCATTATTATGCATAATCTCCTGGAATTGTGCACACACGCACACCCACACACACACACACACACCAGAACAACGCTCAACAAAATACAATGATGAGTAAACATGAGAAGTTGAGACTCACCAGTCGGTCGACGCGTTGTTACCTCACCAGTCACAGAAGACATGCTATGCGTACTGGGGAAGGCTGATGATTGTGTTTTCTCTGTCTCAGTCTCCGTCTCCGTCTGCGCCTCCGTCTTTCTCTTTGACTCTGTTTCCCTCTCTGTCTGTGTATGGCGAACAGGCATCTCCGAAGTTCTCCACACATCATCATTGTCTTCTGAACTGTAGTGACCTAGTATAGTGATGATATGTGGCAAAAACAAATTGCATCAGCCAGAGATAATCAATCTATGGTGAATAAGCAGACAATCACACGGATTATTTATTGTACAAGCGAGACAGAATGAACATAATGAGAATGACGGTGAAGACAGAGAGAGGGAGAGCGAAATGCGAAATTGTCGTGGATAATACGACACTTGTGAATTGAAGTGGTGACAATCCGATGGAGTTATTTTTTTTGTTTGTTTGTAGTTGTGCGCTGGAACTTCGGCGATATGTTTTGCGTTTCTTCACGCCGGCACGCATTCACTGACGCAGTTGGTGTATCAGTTAATCATTCTATCTGTCAGTCATTTTCTCTGAGCGATATATCCTTCTCGAAATCTGACCCTGGCAATGACAACTTCTCGGTCATCTCACAATCACCTTTGTCTCATCTTCTAGCGGATGATGTGGCACTCATACTTTCAGACACTGGGAGAGACTGACCGATGTGACGGTCGTCATGCATCCAGTCACGGGGACAATCATGGGACTGCAAGCCAGCCACCCAGCCACCTGGACCGTCAATAAGACACCATGTCTGACAGACCGACAAAATATACTGCACGTCACAGATCCCATCTCCATTTCTTCCTCCGTTCCACACCTCACATCAATCCGTCTCTCTCGCTGTTAGCCTCCCTCTCTCGCTCTCCATCTCTCCCTATGTCACCCTCTCCCTCTCACACTCTCACTCACACTCTCTCTCGCACTTACGCCTCACTTACAATAACAAAGTCCACCCACACACACATAATCTCTCCACTACTCCAATTTACACCTTCTATCACCTAATCACCTTATTCAGGTATCTTCCAGTCACTGTCAATTGTGCATACAATGCAACTCAACATTCACTAGGATTTTGTGTATTTTCGGATGGTGAGCAGCGGGGGAGTCGATCGATCTGTCAATCTAACAAGCTCTGTGGTGAGAGCAGGCTAGCTGAAATTTGTCGACAGCATTTTACGTCAATGGGTATGTCGCAAATATTGGTGTTGACAAATATGAACAATACTGATTCAACAACCAATCACAGTATTCTTAGCGTATAGATTATCTGACATTCACAGAGTTTAGCTTTATTTCTTATTCTTTTGAGTGTATTGCAAACGCCGCTCAACTTTCTGGCTCCTTCCTGCTTACATTTACATGTCTGGAAGTTTCTCTTACGTATACCGTGTCACTATCCCTACAATCCATCTGTTGTACATGCAAGTTTCTAATGTAGATGGCTGAATGGACTCGAAAGGCAGCCATCACTCAGTATATTTCAGCGATAATTCATTCTCCGGAAATACTGAATGGCACCTGAGCACTCATCACATAACCATTCACGTCTCATCTTCTACCTGTCCGACTTCGTGGTACATACAAACAGACGGATAGTCAAACAGACAGAAATCACAGCAGGTCACTGATCTCATCCCGATTTTCTCTTCTGTAGGAATCCCTACAAACATTATGTCACTAATTTTTCTCCCTCTCGCTTCACTTACAACCACATAGCCAACGTAGTTTGTTCTGTTTTCGAATTTACACAGTGAGTATCTTCTAATTCAGATATTTCCTAATCACACTCATTTCGCCTGTTTGTGTAGTTGAAAGTACATTGGTTTCCCGAGATTTGTTAAAGTGACTTTCAAATCTACTCCACAGGTTTTCACCATGGATTCTGCTGTTTTTCTATACGCGTATCACTTCATTCTTTCTCGTTGCTTTTACCAACCAGTATTTCTCTTCACATACACTCGTTTACTCTGTTTCACCTCGCTGGCTTCTTCACCGCATGGATATCCGTTCTCTCCTTCTACCTCTCTCTCTCTCTCTCAATATTCATGTTAGTTTTAATTCAATCTACGGTAATTTCTCGGTAATACCTTCATAATAGCGTGAATTGCCTATGTGTTTTACTGCTGCTAACTGATGACTTTCACACAAGCATCCGTTTCCTTTATTTTGGTTACTTTAATTTTACCGCGAGGTTTTGTTAAGATGAGCAGTGGTGCTCATAATTGCTATCATCATTAACTGAGCAGCCTTTCAAATATGCAATTTATTATTGTTCATACTCAGACTGTTCATTGCCACTACACAACCAAATAATTCATTTTATGAGATGAAATACATAATCCAAATGATATAGGACGGGGACAGTGGGAATACAGAGGCACAAAAAATTGGAGAATCGGTATTATCTGACGCTAATAAGATAGAAGATCGAGGAAATATCTCAAATATATCACTACATGCGGTGGTACACAACGCTACAATACGATGGGAGGCTTGAAATAATACAAATAATACAGAGACGAAGGAAAGATTATTGTTGACGGAAGCCTTATTTACTGAAACAGATGAGAATTCGTGCAACAGAAATGATGGGAAAATTGTTTTAGGAAAAGAAGTTAATTTCACCAGCCGTAGGAAAGATGTGAAAAGATGGAATAAATAGAACCATGAAAATCAAGTTTCTAGGTTGTGGAGTAAATCCAGGTGCAGTATAAATTGTCTTCCTAACGTTTCCCCTGAATAAGATTGTTTCATTGTGTGTATTTGCTAGTGTGTGTGTGTGTGTATAGAGTGTGCTATTCAATGCACAACTAGTCGAAGTGAGAAATTTGATAAAGAATATCAGCTTCGATATGTACACGTCTTGATTACTGAATGGAAATCTTTGAATGAATGAATTAATTGTTCGCTGATTACCCAGTGGACATCGTTATGTGACGTAGCTGTCAATAAGTGGTCCTGGCTAAAATCTATCACTAAGAGTCCATTGTGTGATCACACGTCTGACTGAGTGGCTATCGCTATGCAATTCAAAGAGATGTTAGATGAGCTCGTGAGACTGAACAACTCAGTTGTAACATCTGTGACTGCAGTAATGTTTGACGTGAATTCTAATCTCTGTAGATCATTATCACCCTCATGATTGCAGATACTTCCTACTGATGAGTTACTCAGTAATCATGTGGATTTCGCAATAGGAGAAGTGTGTGAAGTAAATATTAAAACAATTACAAAGACTCACCATTTGAATCACTTCTTGTATCTTCAGTCATCTGCTCAGTAGTTACAGAAGAGATATTGCTCCTCTCAGGAAGAACTGGAGATTGTGTTTCATCACTGCGGTGCTCAGAAATATCTGAGTGTGTTGTGACAGCAGCCGTGTCTTCTGTTGTAATGGCCTCTGCATTTTCTACAAAAAAAATTATGTTGACATTAATGCAAAATATAAAATAAACACAATGTGATTGCACGAGGATTAATAATGAACAATGACTGTGGAGAAGGTTATGTAAAACTCCTATCAAGAATACGTTTCAAATTGAAGTGATGGCAAGGTAATGGAGAAGATTGAATGGAGCCGCCAAAATACCAGTGTATTTCCTTTGCGATTTTTCAGGTATTCAGAAATTCCCTCACCTCGCTTTAGCGTTCATCTTCCACATGGTTGCTCCACGTAGAAAGGTGGTTGGTTCTCCTTGAAATTTCTCAAATAATCATCTTGTAATTTCCAGTCATGCAGTGTAGTGTATTAAGTTCCATAATTTTGGCAGTAAGTGTTGATTAATTGAATTTAGGCATTTTTGAATCAAAAAATTGTGTATGGATTGTTAATACTCTAAGCACTCACATAGAGAAACCGGAGCGACGCGTACAAAAACTACTGACCAACTACATTTTACTATCACAGTAATAACCGTGTTGTTTTCAACCAACTCAAAATTCTATCTCAATGCGTAAACTTAACATCCCTATTCATTCCCTCTGGTGTATTGATTGACATTTAAAACTATGAATATGACAACTCATCACTTCTGTTAATACCCTGTTTCATGGAAGACTCTAAGAAATGTGAATGTACAACTGGAGAGGCTAACTGAATTCGCCAGCATAGCAGCCTCTCGGCTGGCTGGACACTAGTCGTTTTGTTCATTCTCATCATTGAAATATCTGCCGTCTTACTGAAGTTAATCGTCATATTGAGTAATGAGTAGGACGCGTAGGACATAGATTCATAAAACCTCTTCTACTATGGTAACACAATTCTCACTAAGATTGCATTCGAAGGTCTTTGTAAGGACTTTGGAAATGTGGAATCTAATTCTATAAATCAAGGCGAAGAATTCCGATTACATTTTGATGGTAAATATTACGGCTCAAGCGAATTACCATCATAATGACTTTGATCACTGAATCGCATGAGTCTGCAGTAGAGACGCGCAATTTTAAAGCTTTTCTATAAAAATTGCGGTGTCACAAAAGTAGATCGACGGTCCTAGTCTGTGTTCCAAGAATACCTCCCATTTTCTTTTTCGAACTCTTCAATGACGGTCAAGGATTATGTTTGTACATATAATGCTGTTTTCTGACACATTCACTGGTCTAATCCTTTTCTTCTCTAAGTGACTTCAGAACATTCCAATGGAATTCATGCTTGTGCTATCGAAGGGATCCACGAAATCCTCTATGTTATCGACAGTATTGTGAATATAACTAAGAGAGGGAGAGTAATTCACTGTACCTGCCCTATTGGCCCGTGTGTATAGTCGTCCTGAACAGCACTCAACGTCAAATAATCGGTAATATTAACAACATTAACACTATGATCAGGTGTGGCCTGCATATTATCCTTTCTACAAATTTGTAGCGTCTGACTGCCACTTATTCAACCAGGATTATACCTTCGTTTAGTAAGTACATTTTCACAGCTGACATGAACAACTACACCGACGCTATCATGTACCTGAGTCGTATTGTTAGTGTTATTATTCTGCACACCCCTCTGGTTCCTGATATTCACATATGTATATATAAGCTATTAGAAATGCATCGGTAGATATGTGACTGATAAATATACTGTGGCAGCAAAATCAGTGTGTTCGTTTCACTGCTGAGACGATTGAATAACATGACACGGCACCAATGTGGAATTCGTCAACTTTAAAATGTATTGTTGTT